CCTTCACTAATTTCAAACAGATTACCTATACTCTCCTCAATATCATCATTTACGCTTACATCATCAGATACCTCATCTACATAGTTATGCTGCTTATTTCTATTATATCTAAAATCACTCTTATTACTACGGAACTGAAACTGTGACTTACTGTTTTGCTGAGATCGACACACTTTTGCTAAATGATTTTTCTTACCGCACTTGTGACATGTCGAACCTTTAAAACGGCAATTCCTGCCGATGTGACCGAAGTCACCACAACAAAAACACTGCCACTGCACTCTTATCATTTGATGTTGACGCCAACGCCGCTGCAGACGATGTTGGCTGTTGCTGTTGTCTACCTCTTCCGGTGTTGTGATGCGCTGAACCTCGTGGGCGGGGTTGCTGACCTGATGGGCGTGGTGAAGCTGAAGCTGATGCCGCTGCCATGCGTTTGATCCTCCCGCCGTGACCATCGCTGCTTCCCGCCGAAAGTGACGCCGCGCTCTTCTCCGCCATCTCGAACTGTGACGTCATCTGCACTGCCTTCTCGAATGTTAAATTTGATTCCGATAAAAGTCTCTGCTTCATTGAATCACTTCTAATGCCGCTAACCAGGCGATCTCGTAGATAGTCATTTAAATTCGCGCCAAATTCGCAATGTGTCGACAAATGCTTTAATTGCGCGATATACTGGGAAACACTCTCGTTTTCTAACTGATTTCTCAAGCTGAATCTATATCGTTCCACAATGAAAGATGGCGACGAGGACAATTGGAGCAGTTTTTAACGTTCGGGAGTGAAGCGTCGGTCTACGTCCGGTACTGTACGCGTGGTGTAAATGGCTTGTTTTAGCGCCATAAAAAGATTTTCGTTAGTTTGTGTGGGGAAGGAATGAACATAGAGAAGCTATTTAGTGAAGGATTTAAGTTCGGACATAAAATGGCGGGAATTATAGGAAGTGTCGGGGAGTTCGACCAACACGAGGAAACGTGGGACTCGTATATTGAACGTTTCGAACTATTTTTAAGTTGTAATGAGGTCAGTGAAACGAAAAAGGTTAGTACGTTACTCACAGTAGTTGGTGTAAAGACGTTTAAACTTTTGCGAGATTTGTGTACACCGGACAAACCGTCTAGTAAATCGTACGCTGAATTAGTAAAATTAATTAAAGACCATTTGTACCCGATCCCATCCTCGTCGCCACTGAAGTGTCGTCACCCTGACGTACCTTCGTTGACACGGTGCCATCCTTATACACTGTAACTAAGTCACTACGTCACCCTGACGTCTTACACTACGGGAATCGGGAAGTTAATAAGCACTACGGTTTAACACTGTAAACTGCTAACGACCGAACGGGCCGGAGTTACTCAAGATGGAAGCTGGCTATAACTGAGGTGTAGAGGGGTCGGTTAACATGGACTCATGGGTTGGGGAAGTGGCGTGACCCGATCGTCCAATAGCATTCGTTTATTCAAATATTATTAACTGGTAGTGGGAAATACAAACGGTTACAGTTCAACGTACATATTTAAATATTGCCAACATAGCCTTGTAAATTATTAAATAGTAAAAACTGTTATATTACTTATATAAATATATTACATTAACAATTTGCATTTATGTTTAAAGTGTGTTCCTTATGTCAAAATGTGTGATTTTAATGTTATGTGTTTAAACTGTACCATTAATATTAATGAGTAAAGTGGTGTATGGATATCATAACCATTATTTTACTAGAGACCGTTGTATTTAACCACAACGGCACTGTTGCTAGTTACATATAATATACAACATTTCAGTTTAGTATGTAAATAGATACCAAATAGATATAATTTAAAAGGCAATATTGGAATATCTTTGTAATTATAAACTCACAAAATCTAATTTTTAGATGATGTTTGCTAACTTGGACTTTGCCATTACAGGTTTAGAGTTGCTGTCATACCAAAGGTAGGAACTTTCCTTTTGTGTGCATTATATGTTCTGCCATCATTCATCGGATTGAGTCTTCGCTTCGCTGAAGAAATCCCCGTCGTTTAGTTTTAGGTGAATACAAAGAGGTTAGGGATGGTTAGAGATATCACAGATAACTAAATTCATTTTATTAAAATTTTGATTAGATCAGGGATTTTCAGGTTTTTTCATTATACAGTGTTAGGTGAAATTTTACTTAATCTTATCATGAATTGATTAGCCATAGGCTTTTAGAACAGATTAGGGATTTTCAGGTTTATTTATTAGATAGTGTTAGGTGAAATTTTACTTTATTTTTTTCACGAATAGGTTAGCCATAGGGTTTTAGAACAGGTTAGAAATGTTTAGGTTTTTTAAAGTATATAGTGTTAGATCAAGTTTTACTATATCATCTCATGAATAGATTAGCCATAGGCTTTAGGACAGAATAGGGATTTTCAGGTTCTTTTTATCAGATAGAGGGTTAGGAAGATAATTAAGATATTATTACAGTAGCTCACAAAGGCTTTATAGCTATGATAGGTTAGTGCTAGGCCATCCTCTACGAGACATCTTCGAGAGCAGATCTTCAAATTCAAGACGCTTAATTACTTGTTTGTTTTGTGTGTGTGTGTGTGTACTTATATATTTATTTTCATGTCCAGTTTCTAATCAACTGATATTGTTGCACGAACATAGTGATAAACGTTGATTTGACGCGATTTCAGATATGAGTCATAATGTTGGATAGTTTGAGTAGATTGTTAATATTAGTTAAAAGAACCAGAAGAAGAAGAAGATTAAGGAAATCACAAATAAAAAATTAGAGGTAAGTTGCGTAGTTTTTTGTAAATTCAAATTTTATTGATTCCTTAAAAGTTGCATACTGTACATATATTTTTATTATTAGATATTGTTTTCCTTAAACTAGGTGTTATTAATACGCCTTCTTTTTAAGTTAAGGAATAATTGTAGGATATACATATATTTTGTATTAAGTTATTTATTAAGTAATTTTTCAGTAGCCTGGTAAAATTTTAAGAAGTTTAACCATGAAAAGCCATTATATAACTCTTATCTACTTAGGCAATGCCAGTAAATAGGGAATTATTGTCGCCTTCAGCAGATGGGGACATCAATTGACCAAAAAATAGATATAAAATAGATTCCTATGGGATGTTTTGCATGATTAAACCTCTAAGATTCTTACCAGGGGTGGCAAGGAGGGATAAATGGGCTTCGACCCTCAAATTATTTCAAAACTCATATCGTGCGATATATTTCATAAAATTAAAAAAAATTTTTGGAGTTTTGAAAACAGTTTTTGATTAGTAATACACTCCTTAGGCTTGTGTTACGGCCCTACCACAGTTCGGTAATATTGTGGTAGAAACAGGAGGCCCTCCAACTGAACATGGCCGAGGGGGCGCTTGTGGGTGGAGAGAAGAGGAGGATCAAAATAATTGTGTCTGGACCTCCTCTCCCTACCACGGGTGTCCTTTATCCAAAGTATCCCTTGAACCTTATTCCAACCCACTGACATGATTTCCTTACTTTCTACTCTTCATCCTGCTAGCTTCCATAAAGGCATCGTCAGAGCTGTATTCGACTACCTAAGTAAGTATCTTATCTACTCTACAAACAGAAACAATAAGGTTGTACCTTAGTGTAAGTAGATAGCAGAAATTTACTATCTCATAGAACAACTCATAGCATATTTAAAGTATCCAAGTTTTCTGGGTCCTGTCCTATAAAACGTTAACGTCCATGCTTATGGATTTGTTACGAGGGGAATTGATGACCTGTAATCCGACTGATTCCAAGCACTACATTTATTGCAGACTCTAAAGTCTGATCATTTCAGAGTTGAGATATATATTATTACTCTATTACATATGAAACTATTGAAGAAAATTTCACATATAAAGTGAAAACATAGGGTAAGGGAGAGTGGAAATTCATAGTATGCTATGATCATATTTTACTACGGTACTTGAGTTTATACAAACACAGTGCATCTCGTTGTTTCTCCATGACTCTTCTGAGACAAATTTTTCAGGAGAGCATTTTACAGCAAACACTAGTTTAGTGTAGACCAAATATTTATCATGTAGGCCAAAACTAGGCATGAATATAAAGTACAAAACATACAAAGTACAGGAACAAAAACAATTACTTGTAGGTTCTTTTTCAGTTGATATAACTCTTGCCCTCTTCTAAAAACTGTCTTTTAAGACTCTGTTTTAGATTTTACAATTCTTGTGAGCGACTAGTATGACCAGGGGAATTCGTAGAATCTGCTTCCTGACATCTTAGAACTTCCTATACAAAGGCGATGTGAGACTCTGCCTCCTCTGATAAATGCCAAGGTAATTTTGTTCGATTTTGAAGAATATTCCATTATAGAAAATTAATGAGCTATAACCTTACCCTAGGTGTCGTGGTAAGACCTGGACCAGGGGCTGATTTACCGTTTTGTTTTTAGGTCCCCAGAGGCCAAAAACACCATCTGTTCAAATTTATCTATACATATTCATGTCCATTAGTGCGATAACTTATGCAAAATGATCGGATACTTCTAAAACTAGGTACAAACTATGAAACGTATCGTGTAAACATGTTTATTCAAACGAGGTTGCAAACCAGTATGATCTGACTACAGGAACAGGAATTTATAGGTCATTTAATGGGATTAAGATAGGTTATTCCCATTTTTACCCTAAAAATGTACAATTTAGCAATTTATTTCTGATTCATTTTATAGAGCTTAAAAAAGTGCATTAAGCGTTGTTTTACGCCTTACCGTTATGGAGAAAGTAAAAAAGTGTAAATTCAACATTTCTATGCTCATTGTTATGGGGAATAAAGTAAACTGCTGTAGTTTGCTTGTTTATGGATGTATTGTAATACAATTTGACAAACCTTTGTATTTCATACTAATTAGCTATCAACGATTCAATTAAAAACACCTTCTCTGTAGCAGCAAAGCTAAGTGCTCATTAATATTAGGTATAATAATTAATATTGTAGTATAAAAGGAAGTGTGCTGTTTGTCTAACCTCTTGAAGTGCATTGTTGCAGGCATATCACTGTGGTGTCTGTCAATCAACGCAACTGTAGCCTTCACTACGTCCATCTCCTTCAGCACTTTGGTGCCAGGTGAGTAGCCAACGTTTCATATCCTAATAGAAACAAACAAATCAAAAGCTGACGTACATTGGCACTGTAAAAGGTTTCTTAAGCTATATAATATTAAGTCATTAGCTTATTTGGTAGATAGGTTCTTGCCCCGTTGAGCTGATCTGTTTCCCGTATAATGTTCAAAGACACCCTTGATTTAACCAACTTTACTTAAATAAAAATGTCTTTCTTCTCTATTCAAAGCAAAGCTTTAAGACAAAATTAAGCTTTTTATACAAAACTAGCTGTACCCGCGGGCTTTGCCCCGTTTAACTTCTTAGTTTTCAAAGATGAGCTCGTTCGCATGGCTCTATCACGTCCTGGTTGAAGTTCGTTCGCTACGCTCACTCACCTTTAGGTTGGAGCTCAATCGCTGCGCTCACTTGCCTTCATGTTAGCTCGTTCGCTACGCTAACTCGCCTCCAGGTTGAAGTTTGTTCGCTACGCTCACTCACCTTTTGGTTGCAAATTAGCTGTTGTCATAAATAAAAAAAAAATAATAGTGCTGCAACCTGTTGGTAATCCTTGTAACTTTAATGCTATTGAACATCATAGAACAGAACCAACTGGTTTAATTGAAACAGCTGATAAGATTCATTAATTCCTTTTAAATATGAAAAATCATAAGGTTAACATGGGAAACTTCAGAGCCACTGGGGCGGAGCCCGAGAATCCAATCAGAATAAAAACAACTTAGTTTTCCTACTTAATGTCTAAAGAATCGGTGTACGAAATTTCAGCCTCCTAGGTAAATGGGAAGTGGGAGAATTAGTGATGAGTGAGTGAGTGTGTCAGTGAGGGCTTTGCCTTTTATATGGGAAACTCCAGAGCCACTGGGGCGGAGCCCGAGAGTCCGACAACTTAGTTTTCCTATTTAATGCCTATAGAATCAGTGTACCAAATTTCAGCTTCCTAGATAAATGTGAAGTGGGAGAATTAGTGATGAGTGAGTGAGTCAGTGAGGGCTTTGCCTTTTATATATATAGATTGTGAAAGAATTTTATGATTATTTTGATGTATTAGTTAAAAACTTGGTTTGTTGCAGATAAATCACCGCTGTTACCTCGGTCTGGACGAGTTATGAAACATAACAGAGGATCAACCATATCATTGTAAGACTAAGGTGATTCAACAATCAATAGTGAGAAGGAAGCAGCAATCTGGATTCCCCTGTTTGCAGGTTTTTGGTTACCGTCTGTACTAAAGGATTGTTGTTATTTAGAGTGGGTGTTTGACAATCACCCTTTAGATAAAATCTCAGCACTTTTACTGAAGAAAGACAGGTTAACCAGCACTGGTTTTTATACCACAATCTTTGAACAAATGTTAAACAAGCCCATAAAATACGAACATCAAAGTGATGGGGTTGAATAAAAAAAATACAGAAGTATTTTAGCCTGGAAAGGTTGTGAACTACTACAAGTAGTCAACAACACCTTCTTTCCCTAGAACATGGGATTGTGTATCATGCAGTTGTTTTATGCTGCAGTTTTACAAAGTATGTAATTGACCATACTTTACTACAAATCTTTCTGATGAGCAACACAATTGTTCAATAGTAGAGACAGATTTATAAAGTTGGACAAAATTGGAGAGTAGTTTGCAGCAAACACTAGTTGAGTGTAGACCAAATATTTATCATGTAGGCCAAAACTAGGCATGAATATAAAGTACAAAACATACAAAGTACAGGAACAAAAACAATTACTTGTAGGTTCTTTTTCAGTTGATATAACTCTTGCCCTCTTCTAAAAACTGTCTTTTAAGACTCTGTTTTAGATTTTACAATTCTTGTGAGCGACTAGTATGACCAGGGGAATTCGTAGAATCTGCTTCCTGACATCTTAGAACTTCCTATACAAAGGCGATGTGAGACTCTGCCTCCTCTGATAAATGCCAAGGTAATTTTGTTCGATTTTGAAGAATATTCCATTATAGAAAATTAATGAGCTATAACCTTACCCTAGGTGTCGTGGTAAGACCTGGACCAGGGGCTGATTTACCGTTTTGTTTTTAGGTCCCCAGAGGCCAAAAACACCATCTGTTCAAATTTATCTATACATATTCATGTCCATTAGTGCGATAACTTATGCAAAATGATCGGATACTTCTAAAACTAGGTACAAACTATGAAACGTATCGTGTAAACATGTTTATTCAAACGAGGTTGCAAACCAGTATGATCTGACTACAGGAACAGGAATTTATAGGTCATTTAATGGGATTAAGATAGGTTATTCCCATTTTTACCCTAAAAATGTACAATTTAGCAATTTATTTCTGATTCATTTTATAGAGCTTAAAAAAATGCATTAAGCGTTGTTTTACGCCTTACTGTTATGGAGAAAGTAAAAAAGTGTAAATTCAACATTTCTATGCTCATTGTTATGGGGAATAAAGTAAACTGCTGTAGTTTGCTTGTTTATGGATATATTGTAATACAATTTGACAAATCTTTGTATTTCATACTAATTAGCTATCAACAATTCAATTAAAAACACCTTCTCTGTAGCAGCAAAGCTAAGTGCTCATTAATATTAGGTATAATAGTTAATATTGTAGTATAAAAGGAAGTGTGCTGTTTGTCTAACCTCTTGAAGTGCATTGTTGCAGGCATATCACTGTGGGGTCTGTCAATCAACGCAACTGTAGCCTTCACTACGTCCATCTCCTTCAGCACTTTGGTGCCAGGTGAGTAGCCAACGTTTCATATCCTAATAGAAACAAACAAATCAACAGCTGTTACGTACATTGACACTGTAAAAGGTTTCTTAAGCTATATAATATTAAGTCATTAGCTTATTTGGTAGATAGGTTATTATTTAATACTGCTTTAGATCTTTGTCTATAGTTTTAGAAAATTGTCTATAGTATATAAACAATAAATTAACACATTATTTGGTATTGAAAACAAACAATTAAAATTACCTGACAGTTCACTACTGTAGTATTGGCCCAGAAAAATCAGAAGAATCAATTTATGGTGAAAGAATATATGGTAAATAAAATTCTAAACTAGGTTGATTGTACAAGAAATGTATTAATTAGTAAGTGTGGTTATTATGTCTAACCTCTTGACGTATTTTTTTGTAGGAATATCACTGCGGTGTCTGCGAATGATTAGCAAGTCTTTTGATGCAGCTGTATTCTGCCCCAAAGTCAGGCTCCTTGATCTCAAAGGTGAATATCCTAATTGAAACAAAGAAATCAATTGTTAAAAGTTGTTACACACATGGACACTGTAAAATGTCTCTTAAGAATTTTTAACATTTTTGCCATATTGAGCTGATCTGCGTCAACAATATAATACAACTTAAAACTAATCTAAGGTTGAGGCAAAATAATCTTCTATTTTATAAAAACAGTTTTTTAGTAGAATTATCTTGATGGCTACTTTAAAAACATTTAATGGTAACTTTTTTTGACCAGGCCCAAAATTAAAAAATCCCTCTCTATAAAGTGCAAGAAGCATTTCATGTAACAATTGGGGAAACAACGTTTTTAGGGTATTTCGACCCTGCTGAGTACGAATCTGCCTGTTGCCAACGCGAAATTTGAACCGGAAGTGCGGTATCCAAGATGGCGACCAAAACTCTATTTGCCCCATATCTCCCTTGTTAGTTGGCCTAAAATAATGGTTTAAACGTGTATATAGGGGGTTTTCAGATGCCAAGCACATTAAAACACTCAAAATTAACTTAAATGAAGTTTTGAGGGCATATCTTCCAAAATGGCGTCCAAGATGGCCGCCAAAAACTCTAATTTACGCATATCTCCCTTGTTTTTTGGCTTAAAATAATTATTTAGACGTCTGCATAGGGGTTTTCTCCGATGCCAAACACATTGCAACACCCAAAATTTACTTACATTAAGTTATGGGGGCATATATTCCAAGATGGCACCCAAGATGGCCGCCAAAAACTCTTATTTCTGTATATATATATCCCTTGTTTGTTTGTTTAAATTAATTATTTAAACGTCTACAAAGGTATTTTCTCGCATGTTAAATCACATTGCAACACTCATTATTTACTTCCTTTGAGTTTAGATGACATATGTTTCTAAGATCGCAATAAAAACTTTATTGTGCTTACGTGAGCTCCGTTTGTATTATTGTATTTAGTGTTTAAGACCAATCAGATATCTATTAGTGGCTGAATATTTGCTACTATTTTTGAAATACCAATTGAAATTTAGCAATGTTAAAGTAGAAGGCAAATTGTTTAATGTACTCTGGTGGCACCGTAGATAACGCGTAGTATAACAGAACCTGTAATTAAGTAATTGTAGAATTAATTGTGTATGAAGTTGACGAATTTATCACTTACTTAAGGTGTCCAGTTATGTAAATAGATATTTATTGTAAAATATGACGATACCATACGTATGTTTTGTATGTTTTACGGCAATAAATAATTTGATTTGATTTGATGTTATTTGAACGTTTAGTCCAACAGAACCTGTAAAAATTATTTTTTAGACCATACCTAAAATCCGCAAGAGGTGGTGCATGTAAATTAAGTTAAACAAAGGTTCTTTATAACACATTAATAAATAATAGCCTAATAAACAATTTGGTGACAATATTAACAATGATACTGTACTGTTATATTGTATTGATCTTGTGGTACCACCCATCAATGGAGGTTTGTTTACCATGGGTCTCAATGGATGAAATAGATTTTTTTTAAGTTTTTTTTATGGCAGCATTGTGTTGGCTGCACTGATCAACATTAATCAGCAAACAATTCTTCTTTTTAATATCTTATGTAGGCCAACCGTCTATAAAAGTTAGTTTATGAAGAGAAAGTAAACAATTGTATGTGTACAAAATAGTTGTTAATAAGGTAACATCTTTTGTTTCCCAACCGTCTATAAAAGTTTGTTTGTGAAGAAAAAGTAAACATCTGTATGCATTTCTACGAAATAATTATTTGAGGTAAGTACAATTTGTAATCCTTAGTTTATTTTAACTTATCAATAAGGAGTTTTTGAACCATTTGTTAAATAATTACGGTAAACGCTATTCGTTATGTTTTCTCGTTTATTAAATGTGAAAATAACGTATTGCGTTTACCGTGATTATTTAACGAATGGTTCAAAAACTCCCTATTGCTAATTTTGAATAAACTAAGGATTTAATACAAATTATACTTACCTCAAATAATTATTTATTAGAAATTTACAAATGTTTACTTTCTCTTCACAAACAAACTTTTATAGACGGTTGGAAAACAAAAGATGTTACCTTATTAACAATTATTTTGTACACATGTATACAATTGTTTACTTTCTCTTCATAAACTAACTTTTATAGACGGTTGGCCAACATAAGATATTAAAAAGAATAAGAATTGTTTACTAATTAATGTTGATCAGTGCAGCCAACAAAATGCTGCCATAAAAAAACTTAAAAAAATCTATTTCATCCATTGAGACCCATGGTAAACAAACCTCCATTGATGGGTGGTACCACAAAATCAATACAATATTTTAGGTATGGTCTAAAAAATAATTTTTACAGATTCTGTTGGACTAAACGTTCAAATAACATCAAATCAAATCAAATAATTTATTGCCATAAAACATACAAATCATACGTATGGCATCGTTATATTTTACAATAAATATATATATTCACATAACTGGACACCTTAAATAAGTGATAAATTCGTCAACATCATACAAAATTAAATTCTACAATTACTTAATTACAGGTTCTGTTATACTACGCGTTATCTACGGTGCCACCAGAGTACATTAAACAATTTGCCTTCTACTTTACATTGCTAAATTTCAATTAGTATGTTAAAAATAGTAGCAAATATTCAGCCACTAATAGATATCTGACTGGTTTTAAAAACTAAATACAATAATACGCACGGAGATCACGTAAGCACAATAAAGTTTGTATTGCCATCTTAGAAACATCTAAATTTAAAGAAAGTAAATAATTAGTGTTGCAATGTGATTTAACATGCGAGAAAACACCTTTGTAGACGTTTAAATAATTAATTTAAACAAACAAACAAGGGATATATATATATACAGAAATAAGAGTTTTTGGCGGCCATCTTGGGTGCCATCTTGGAATATATGCCCCCATAACCTAATGTAAGTAAATTTGGGTTTTGCAAAGTGTTTGGCATCGGAGAAAACCCCAATGCAGACGTATAAATAATTATTTTAAGCCAAAAAACAAGGGAGATATGCGTAAATTAGAGTTTTTGGTGGCCATCTGGGCCCCATTTTGGAAGATATGCCCTCAAAACTTAATTTAAGTTAATTTTGAGTGTTTTAATGTGCTTGGCATCTGAAAACCCCCTATATACACGTTTAAACCATTATTTTAGGCCAACTAACAAGGGAGATATGGGGCAAACAGAGTTTTGGCCGCCATCTTGGATACCGCACTTCCGGTTCAAATTTCGCGTTGGCAACAGGCAGATTCGTACTCAGCAGGGTCGAAATACCCTAAAAACGTTGTTTCCCCAATTGTTACATGAAATGCTTCTTGCATTGCCTTTTTTTGAAAACGGGCCTAGTCTATTTAACTTTAACTCGTAACTTGTTGTACAATTTAGTAGCGGTATATTTGAAGCTAGCTTGAGTGGTGGCATAAAGGCACTGATCTATTCTTAAATTATTACAATTCCTTGTGGCATACTTGTGCACATCCTTATTACAAAGTAAAATATCACAGTTGTTTTTAATATATAACAGACATTGAAAGATATAAATACAGGTTAAGGGCATCACAGACAATTTCTTAAATATAGGCTTACAATGACTACGTGGTGGAGCATTACTTAACAGTCTAATGGCTCTTTTTTGTAAACAAATAAGATGTTGGCATGGCTACAATTAGCCCAGAGAATGGCACTATATACTAAATGACAATGAACATAACTAAAATACACAGTTAACAATACATCTGGAGAAACAATTGATTTTAAATTTCTTAAAATAAAAATTCCTTTGGAGAGTTTTGGAGCTATAAAATCAATATGGGAAAACCATTTTAGGTTGCTCTGTATCATCACACCTAAGAATTTGACTGGAGTTTGAGAATTCTTAGAGTTACCATAGGTCATTTCTAGATTTTGAGTTTGTTTATGTTAAGAGACAGCTTATTAGCCTTACACCAGTCGGACATTGTTTTAACAGACTCAGAAATTACACTGTCCTGCATACACTTAGTAGACTTGATATTCAAACACACGTCTGCATACATAAAACATGAAACATCATTACTTTGGACATTAAAAGGTCGTTTACATAAATAATGAAGAGTAGGGGGCCTAAAATGGACCCTTGTGGAACTCCGTGGGGAGTGTGTTTAAGCTCTGACAGTGAATCCTGGAAATAAACAGCCTGGAATCTGTTGCTCAGATATGACTCAATCAAAGACACAGCATTATCACAACAACCAAATGACTTTAGTTTGCCTAGTAAAACACTGTGAGACACAGTGTCAAAGGCCCTTGAGAGATAAAAATTTTTTAAGGAAACACCTTGTTTTCTTTCTATGGCCTCTAGAGTGTCCTGAATGTAATTTAAAACCGCCTCCGTAGTGGATCGGTGCTTGCGGAAACCAAATTGCGCACACAAAAGCAAACCGTTTGAATCCAGAAAGTTAATTATTTGCCATGAAAGCACCCTCTCAATGACAGAGTGGGTACCAAGGCCACAGGCCTATAATTGCTATCATCCAATCTATTACCTTTTTTTAAATATTGGAACTATCTTAGAAATTTTAAGTTTGTCTGGGAAAGTTTTCCCCGTAATACAGGAGTTAATAATGTGTGCAATGACTTCACATAAATAATCACTACCAAACTTTAGAATCTGAGAACTTAAACCAAAAATATCAAGACTGCTGCTGCTGCTTAAAGACAAAAGACGATATGGATAGAACATTTAGTTAAAAACAGATAAGAGTCATGCCCTTTTTTATGGATCGGTGACTGATATCAATAGCTGTTGACCACTGAGACCACACAAACCTAATCACAGAACAATATGAAATTGTCAATTTTTGAAACTATGTTTTTGAATACCAAACAAATACAGGATTTCCATGACTAATAATCTTATATTAGTGGGACCACAAAAAATAGTAGAATCATTTTACACTAGTAATTAGAAGTGTGTGCCGGTCAAGTTAGGATACATGTTAATAATTCTTT